GATGAACTCGATCATCGTAGGCACGGAGATACCGTGTCTGCACATTGAAAGCAAGCCAGCGCCCTTCTTTATAGTAATATGTAAACTCTTATTAGAACAGACAACTTGCAGGCTTTCTCCCCAGTACTCATCGTCATCACCTTCGTCTTTTTCTTTTTCTTCTCTCTCTCATGTTTACTCACACTTATGTGCACTTTGTCGTGTTTTTAATGCTGTAATAAATCTCCAGCCATCCAAGTTTTCTTCATTCTTTTTTTATTTATTAAATTTTTGTAGCCATTATATATATATATATATATATATTCAATGTATTATTATTCTTGTACATTAATGTTGATTATATAGGACGTAGTTACCTTCAATACTATCGGACTAACCATGGTTCTGGGCATCAATAGAAACTATCAGCCCGGTTTTGTAGGAATATACTTTTCTGCTTAACCATATATTGTTTCCAAAGCAAAAAATTAGCTGGAAAAAAGCGAGTTGAACTTGAATGTAAATGTGTGTTTGCCCCCTATAAAATTTAAGGAATAACGTAAAGGTAAGGACAGCCACTTATTAGGGAATGACGGCCTTCACATCAAATGATCAATGTATAAAGAAGAGACTTCACAATATTATGGCAGTTTCTGTTTCTCGTTCTCATCACTGAAATATTCTCCACTTTTTGCTTTGCAGTTCTTTCCTGTTTCCCCGACCATTAACGTACGAAATAAATTCTTCACTTGTTCATCAAATTTCCCACCTTGGCCAAGTCGGTGTTAAGGGGAGAGGGACAACCTATGAACTATCCCCGTCCTATTTTACCTAACTTAAATATGAAATACTAAAAGTTTTAAGTTCGAATTTATTTTGGTTAAAGTTTTTGAAATTGTTAATTAGTCACTCATCAATCATTGTTGCCATAACGTGTAAATGGATCTATAGCTAAACACAATTTAAAGAGTTGTTATCAATTTTTTTTTAAAAGTGTGATAAATCATCTAAGTGAATTTATCATTTTAAGAAAATCTTAAACTTGACTAAAAATTCGTAAAGAATAGATTTTGATATATATTTCAGAATAAGATTCAAGAGTTCTATTATGAAAAAAGTTATAGTACCACACGTGCCCATCCAAAAGACAATACTATTTTATTTTAAATTATCCTAAAGATTTATGGTTCTAATGGTCTTAAATTTTAATATGTAAATATTAAAAACTATTTTTAATATTTTTTCATCAATATGACAGAATTCTTAAAAATACTTTATCATTTCAAAAGTATTCAAGAACTCATTTATTTTTTTGAGGAGACTTTATCGTCGGAAAAATTTAATCAATTATTTTTATCAAATTTTTTTTATCAAAATATATCTAATTCTTCCACCATTTGAGCCAAAATTAAAAATATTTTCTTACCTAAAAATATCTTAGATAATCATCTATTTACAATTACTAAAAATTTCATCTTCAAAATTTATATTTTATTTTATAAGTTTTATTTCTAAATTTTTCATCATTAGGCCTAATTTAGAAATATTTTCCTAAATTCGATTTCTATTTATTCATCATTTTACAAGAAAATATTATTACAATCATTTTTCTAAAGTCTCATCTAAATTCTTCTATCATTTTGGTTGAATTTAGAAAAAAAAAACTTTTCACCTAAAAATCTTATAGAAGTTCAGCCATATGTGATTTTTCTTAAGATTTTATCTTGGATAATTATCAAATATTTTCATACAAATTTTGATTAATTTTTATTTTTAATTTAAAAAAAATATAATTTTTTTATTGAAATTTTATTTAAATTATTCTACCGTTTAAGTCAAATTTAAAGAAATTCCTTACATAGAGATTTCTTAAAAAAAATTTCACTTGAAAATTTTAAAAATCTCATCATTAAATAATGTTAATTCAGTCCCAAAAATTTATTAAACTTGTTTATGTATTTTTTATTTTTTATTTTTAAAAAAAGATGAAAATAAATATCAAAGTTTTTATTTTATACTTTTATAATTATTTCTTTAAGATAACTTCTCTTAATTTTTCTAAAGATTTAATCATGCAAGAATATTTCAAAAATAAATAAATAATAAAATAACATAAAATAAATAAATAAAACAAATGAACAAATATAAAAAAGAATGGGCTTGGCTCGGCTCGACTTGCTTTGATCAAACGGCTTTAGAAACAAAAACAAGTTGGTGTGGCTTAGGAGATAGCTCGGCTTGACTAGGTGTTGGTTGCCAAAAACGAGTCATAAGTTTAGGTTGCGATTGGATCGGGTTGAGTGAATAAAAAAACGTTGATCCTCAAGGTGTTTTAATGACCAAAACAACATCGTATAAGTAAAGTATAAAAGACTGAAATTTTATTTTCTGTTTTAGAATCTGCTTCTCTCTCTCTCTTCCCTCTTGTTCTCTGGTCTCTTCTCTCTCTAAAAGATAAGAACATCGATGACTGGCTATCCAAGCTTCATCGAGTTTTGGGCCGTGTCGTCGGGTTTGCGCTGAAGTTTGGCTTAGATCTGGGTCTCATTGTCGGATTCTAAAATTTGTTGTTGAGAACTGAGATTTTTGTCAAAAAATCACCAAAAAACTTGAACTCGTCGGAAAATTAAAATGAAATCTAAAAATTACAAAAAAATTTCATAAATTCCAAAAAATTCAAAACAATAATTCAACCTCCTCTAGCTTTTGAAATCTCCCAAAACACAATCTAAACCTAATCAAACTCACAACCTTATATTTCCAAAAAAAAACTTTTTTGCCGTACTTAATTTCTTTCTTGATTGTTTTTGCAATTTTCCTTTTTTTTTTTTTTGCTATCTTTCTCTACCAACTCGTATATGAGTTGTTGTACTTTTCTTATCTTTTTTTTTTCCTTTTTGTTGATTATTGTTTGAGGTTTATTTATACACGTGAGTTTAGGTTTGATTGGTGTTTCAATTTAAGATGGATTCTTCAAAAAACGATCTGGATTGAAACCAACTCTTTTTAAAATCTCAAATTTAAACAATTATCACCTAAAGATAAACTTAATTCCAATTTTCATAACTCAACCTGTCCTGTTAAACAATTTCAGCCCTTGATTCTTTAATTATCTCTATTTTCTTTTAGTAGATAAGATAAATCCGACCTAAAAAAAATGATAAACAAAGATAATCAATCCATAAAATAAATAATCAAAAAAATATATTAAAGTAGATAAAAAAATAATCAAAAAATTATATTAAAGTAGATAAAGTAAAAAGAAAGATAGACAAATAAATAAATAACAAGATGTCTTTCGTTTTTTGACCTAGTAACCACAGAAGTCTTTAGGAAAACGTAAAGGCTTGATTTCAAACCAAGCCCTCCCCCTTTTGTAATAGGGCTTTGCCCCTCCCTTAAAACCAAAAAAAAAAGAAAAAAGAAAAATATATATACATATATATATATATATATATACAGATAAATACCTTAAAGTAAAACATCCAAAATGTAAAAGATAGTGATAAAAATATGATAATCTGATAATTAGGCTTAATCGATTTAGGTTTAATTGAATCAAATAGAGTATCTACAATTGTTATCTTCTTAAAACATGTATCAAGTTATTCTAATAGGACACTAGATAGTTTGGTTTATTTTATTATAGTACAATCTATTAATATACCTTGTGATGTAGGAAATATGTGTATAGTTTATTAAATTGATAATAATGATGATGATGGTAGCTAAATGAATATTGCAAAAGTCAGAGCCAGAAACCGAAGACAGCAACCTGACAGGCAGCACATTCGGAATTGAAGAACCTCCTTTAATTTGAACCTAACGATTACTTTGTGTATCTTTGTCATTTTGCATTAATCTGTCTCCGCATGCATTAATGAATCAAAATATTGCATGTTCCTTTTGAGAGATTCTCATGCTCTTAACAAAAAGATAATTTTTTTCAAAAAGTTACAGAAAAAGATAATATAAACTAATTATAAACAAATAATACAACTTCTCCTAAGTAATTAAAATAATTTAACTTCGTAAGAATCGTGGTGCAAAACAAATAATTAAGGACCATCCAAGGAATATTAACGATACAGTCATCAAATGCATACTGCACCACGGTCAAAGGGTTCTGAACACATATCCGAACCAGGTCTTAAAAAATTTTCAATATTTACGCTTTAGTTATGATTGATAAGATAGGTGTTATTTAATCTTCAATCTTAACCATGTAGGATTCATCCATTCTATTTCGTTTCTTTTCTCTTGTATAAAAAAATAGTTATAAACTTAAAAATTAGACCACCAAATTATTTTCTTGTTTGATTGATATCACGTTGAAGATGTCATACTAATTTTAACTACAAAAAACTTTTCTATAATTTTATCTAAGTTACGTAACATAATGATTTAGAGTTCACCCATCATGAAATGAAATAAATACTAGCAGTAAATAAAGTTGAAGGGAAATCCAGCATCATCATATCGAGTATTATTTAATTCCAATTAATTTCCGTTATAAGCACCAATTTATATATCATATTTATCACTCTCTGAGCGCTTATCCTGTTTTTCGTTTTTGAGTTTGAATGCTGCTACAGCCTAGCAGCTTGAGTTTGGTTTTCCGGTTCCCATTTAGCTTCGAAATCTTCGTTCTTATTCTCTGTGAGATCCCCAACATATTACGGCAGCAGATATTCAAACCCCAAAAGATTTTTGATACCCGTCCAAGAGAAGGAGAGAATACTTGATGGTGATAGTTTGGTCCCTCTTACTCACAGCAGCTCTTATATTTACTCCTTTTTAAAGCAGCCTTTTTTGTTCTTGATCTTGACAATTTTCGCATCTCAGTTTCACTCTTTTCCACTCTATTCTCTTCCTACTATACTCTCTTTGGTTGTTTTCTGATTCAATTCCTTGAAAAGGCCAAAACCAATTGCAGACTAACGGTTTTCTTCCAAGAAAAAGCAAATACTACTAGTTGTAGTAGTTGAAGAAGAACAACAAGATACTTGGAACACTTTCCAATGGATGATATTGTATGTGAGTTTTTTGAAGAACCTGAATTTGGAGAAACCTACCTTGCTGGAGATGACCTGTTTGCCATTTTTGAGAGTTTAGATGGTCTCCCTAAATTTCCACCCTTCACTCCATTGGAAGCAACCGCCGCTGGTAGCACCCAAAAGGATGGTGAAGAAGCTACAAGGTTGGTGTCTCAGAAGTCTACTTCTTCCTGTGCTCAACAGGAGTCAGAGACTGAGCCTGAGCCCGAAACTTCACCCAAAAGCAAGAGGCAGAAGCTAGCTTCTTTAGAGGAAACAAACCCAGATGGGCAACAAAGAATGTCTCATATTACGGTTGAGCGCAACAGGAGGAAGCAAATGAATGAGCATTTATCGGTGCTGAGGGCGTTGATGCCTAGTTTCTATGTCAAAAGAGTAAGGCAGTTTGTTTTAATTTCTTGTTTTACTAAGTATCCATTTAAGCCTTTTTTTTTTCTGTTTGTCTGTTTGAAAGCTTTTATTGAGGTTGTTGCTTGCTTTTTTTGAGGTTCTTTCTTTCTTTCTTTTTTTTTCTTATGTATAATCTTTGTATTGAATTATGTCTTAGGGAGATCAAGCATCGATTATTGAGGGCGTTGTGGATTACATCAATGAGTTGCAACAAGTTCTGCAATCGCTGGAGGCCAAGAAACAAAGAAAAGTTTACAGTGAAGTGTTAAGCCCTAGGATAGTTTCAAGTCCAAGACCCTTACCTCTCAGCCCTAGAAAACCACCTCTAAGTCCAAGACTTAACTTGCCGATAAGCCCAAGAACCCCTCAACCAGGTAGCCCTTACAAGCCAAGGTTGCAGCAGCAAGGTTGCCTCTCTCCAACCATGACTAGTTCGCTCGAGCCATCTCCTACTTCTTCCACTTCCTCCATGGACAACGTTAACGAGCTCGTTGCAAACTCAAAATCTCCGATTGCTCATGTGGAAGTGAAGTTTTCAGGCCCCAATCTTCTTTTAAAGACGTTATCTCCTCGGATTCCTGGTCAAGCTGTGAAAATAATCTCTGCTCTTGAGGACCTCTCACTTGAAATTCTCCATGTCAACATCACCACCATTGATGAAACCATACTTAATTCCTTCACCATCAAGGTAAAAACTCTCTAGCCCCATTTTACCATTTTAAGTGAGCATATTGTAAAACATAAATATTGGTGTGTCTAAAAGAATTAAATAATGTTTTGAATTTTGTAAAGATGTTTGCATTTGTCTCACTTTCTTATGTTTTAGAATTTGATTAAAAACTCAAATAATGCATTAAAAAAAAAAAGCAAAGGGAAGGGAAGGGGCCAAGGGTATCCAATTTCTCATTTATATTCTGAACTACTAACAGACAAGGCAAATGCCCTGAATTCTTTTTAGGTGTCAATTTTGTGCAATGATATTGTTTTCTCAAAGTTTTAACATTTGTTTGCAATATTTTTGCTCTATATGTCTCAGTCTGTTCTCTTGATTTTGTTGTTTTTCTCTTTAAACCCCATCTTTGATTTTGAATGATTTCTTTCATCATTGAGAAAAACATTACCCACCGTTAAATTGCACCGGTGCAGGATCATTTTAATATTAAATTTTAAGAGACAACAGTAAAATCAATCAGGTTCAGTAGTTTTCACACAAACGTAGAGCTGACGTTGGTGTAATGCAACGGTACTGACTGTAAAAACGTCACTAACTTCATAACTCTTGAAAAACAGGATCGCTGAAAACTAGGGTTTCTTTTCTTTGCAGTCAGTTTTTTATTTGACCATAATTATGATATGAATGTTGCAGTTACTTTTTTTTATTTTTAAAACAGATTGGAATTGAATGCCAACTGAGTGCAGAAGAACTCGCCCACCAAATCCAGCAAACGTTCTGCTAAGTTTTACTCATCATAGTTTTCAGCCTTCATTAACGGACTCAAAGAAAAGAAGAATGGAAAGGCATATGGCATGCATTTACCTTCATTTCTATTTTAACAAATTAATGTGTAATCGTAGATTAGTGATCATGACATGCATTAGCTAGCTATAGTGTAACACACCCTTGTAATTTTGCAGTCTCAAAGTTCAATTGATTTGCATATTTGCATGTATGGATATACAATATATATATATATATATATCCATTTGTTTAAGGTAATTTATTATTCTCTTTTTGGGAATTCTAGCCTCTTGTATTTACTTACAAAAATTATGAAATAAATAATAACGATAACATTTAAGAATAATACAATCAAGTCAGGAGATATATAAGTAGACTACACCTACCCTCTGAAGAATTGAAGAAATACGTAGGTGAAGTGAAGACTGGAGATTCTCAAGCCCCTTTATAATTTCTTCCGGTGTTTTTAATCCAAATTGGTAGCCAGGGTAGGTGCCTATAACTTTAGAAAATAACAATAAAAATTTGATATATAAGTTTTTGATTAATTAGAATTACCAAACTCGGGGCCAAGAAAATTGATGTCTTATTGTACTTCACAACGGATGGAGTGGACCAAAGTATTTTGGTAACTCCTAGTTTGGTAAAGATTCTGTCCTGGAATTAAAGGGAACTCTTAATTTCATTTTTCGATTTTAATTTTTTTGCAATCATTTTTAGTTGAAATTTTATGAATTTTATTTAAAAAATTTCATCTAAATATTTTTCGAAATTAAATAAGTTGTATGCTGGAGAGATATAAAACTATGGCTTAATTCAATTAATTTATAGGTGGTATTCAATAATTTTAATTTTTAAATTACGTTTTTTTTTTTTTTTTGTAAATAAAGTTATATGTGGATTCATAACTTGCTCGAACTAAGCCAACGGTCGATAATTTTGTTTTAATGATATAAGAATATTTTCTTTTTGGAAATGCCAAGCCTTCTACACATTATAGTAATAATATCGATTAAGTGATTGTTATGCAAATCACAACAAATTCAAAAACTTCTGAATGGTAATGCTCCGAGACGAAGAACGACCAACTCAAAACCATTTGAGATCAAAACACTTGATTCTTCAAAATTTAAACTTGATAATAAATTGGGTATAAACTTTTTTGTCATATTCATCGAAAAACAACTATTTTTATAGGGTATTGCATAATCATTGTTTATGAATTGATATAGTTCAAACTTTCTATTATATAAAAAAAAAAAATCAACTATGGGACAAAATTTTTAAATGGCATTTAATTTGAAGTTTTGAATGCAATGCTTTACATATTATTGTGCAAAAAGTTATGTGACATGTCTTCAAAACTGACGAGGATCTTCAGGCTTCATGCATGTAATTAAAATTAGCTCAACCATATATAGTAATCTTGTATTCTTGTGTTAGAATTTTCTTTAATAAAAAAAGAACATTCAGCTTAGGTGTAATTAACAATGGTCCTATGCACTGCAATCCTAAACAAGATTGCTCAGCAGCAGGCTCAAATTTTGCATGTGACTGCCTAAATGAGACTTAAAATGGACCGTTGAGAAACCAAATTCCAATTTCTTATTTTTGTCTCTTTTTTTTTTTATTTTTAACTCAATAGCTCAAATTCAAAAGAGGAATCATAGTTCTGGTTCAGATTGGAATTCTAAAAATAAACATATGAAAATGGTGGCTCATCACGTTATTATATTCACACTATTTTCAGGGGCCTGGGCTCTGAAATTTCCCTGGGACTGGGACGTGATTTCTAAAAATAAACATATGAAAATGGTGGCTCATCACGTTATTATATTCACACTATGCTCATGGGCCTGGGTTATGAAATTTCCCCGGGACGTGATATATATGTTGGGCTACATCAGAAAACCTGATCATAGCTTCACGTTGTTCCAGTTTTTGGTACTGAATTCAACTTTTGCCTCTTGGGTTGCTATTTGTAATCTTTCTGGGCCTACGCCAATTCTCCATGCGATTTCTCCATTTGATAAAAAAAATATTTGAATGTAATTGAGTTATAGAAAAGCATACGTTTATTACGTACATTATGAAAATTTTTATTCAACTTTTGCGATACAAAGAGAAAGGTGGGTGCAATTGGGCAATATACCACTTGAGCTCTATTCGAAAAAGGGTCTGAGCTATAGCTAGTGCTCTAGGTAATCCATTGTATATGGATTCGATCACTGCAAATAAGCAAAGACTAGTACATGCAAAATTTGTATTGAGATGAAGGCAAGTATAGAAGTGCCAAAGTTCATTGATATGGAAAGGTAGGATGGTTTAATTATGTCTGTTTCAGTAGAAATTCCATGAATGCCACAGAAATAGAAGCACTATTGTATATTTGGGATTATAAAACTTGTACCAAGAAAGTAAAGACAGAAGCAATGGTCTGGGTGCCTAAGGATAAGGGTAATGTGGCTACGCAGGAGGCAAAGATGACTGAAGTGGATAAGATACAACGATACAGTGCCATAAGAAAAAATGAGGTTTCAATTGCACTCCCAACTGCTAAAGCAGGCTCTGTTAACAGATTTTCGATCTTAGAAGCTGTGTAGGAATCCAAACTGGTCGTTGACGAAAGCAGTGTAGATCAGAGTTCTACAAATGAGGTTAAAGAGATAATTCCATTCTTGCTAACGAAACAGATAGCAGCTGCTGCAGGTGTTGCTAATTTGATGAAGGCCCTGAAAAGCAAGAAGAAAGGTCCAATTGATAAGAGGAAAAAGGTTAAAACAAGATTCACTGCCTCCGGAGGTAAGCCTAGTTGTTCTTGAACATGAAACTGATAGTATGGAATACTAAAGGACTCAATGATGCTCAAAAACAAAAGAATGTTGTAGATAGAACAAATAGAATAAGGGCAAATATTGTGTGCTTGTTAGAAACTAGTATAAAGCATCATAAAATACAGCCTGTGCTGGAAAAGCATTTTCTTGGTTGGGGTATTCATCACAATTATGCAACATCTCCAAACGGAAGGATATGGATATTATGGAGAGATCATGCGCAAGTAGATCTACTAGAGCAAAATATTACTTGAACGTTACAATATGAAAATAGGAAAGTTTATTTTTCTGCCATTTATGGGACTAACGATGGAGTTCAAAGAAGGAACTTATGGTTGAACTTATCTTATATTAGTGATATAGTGTAAGATAACCCTTGGATTTTGGCAGGGGATTTTAACATCATAGTCCATCCTTCTAAAAAGTATTTTTAGAATTGCTTACTCAACTAGGCTTGTTTGATTAGGCTTATTTTGGACATCAATTTACTTGGTCTAACCATTAATTAGGAAGTTACTTAGCAATGAAGTTGCTTAGAGTTTTGATAAATGACTATTGGCTTTCAGCTCTCCCACAGTCGCATGTTGAGTACTTAGCCCCATAAGTCTCTGATCATTATGCTGCACTTGTCAAACTCAGCATGACAACCCAATGCCCTTCAAAGCCGTTTAAGTTTTTTTAACTATTGGACAGGGAATCTGAAGTTCAAGTTAATCTTGGAAAGATCTTGGAAAGACCCTATCAAAGGTATCACAATACTAATATTGCATAAGAAGTTAAAGAGGTTGAAATTGAAGCACAGAAATTTCAATCTTCAAAGTTATAGAAATCTGCCTAGTAAAATGCAGGCAAAGAGTGAAGAGTTGGAACCAATGTAGAGAGCCATTCTAACTCAAAACTCTCCAAAGGAACTAGTTATGATTGAAAGAATTGTATATAAAGAACTCAAAGACCTAATGAAGGCTAAAGAGAGTTATTATAAGCAGAAATCAAAAATCAGATGGCCACAGAAAAGTGATCATAATACAAATTTTTTCCACAAACTAGTAAAGTAAAGCATAAAAAGAATACCATACAAATTTTAATGGATTCAAAAAGGAAGAAATTTGATATGTTTGATCGGGTTTCATAAAAAGCAATCTCCTTCTTTCAGAAGTTAATTGGAACTATTGATCAAAATGTTATAGGATGCAAACATGAGTTTTTGGTAGAGCTCTTTCGAGGGACTTTATCTACAGAGGCTCAAAACTTTACTTACTTTATCTAGTGATGTTTTACTAGATAGGCTCAAAACCAGTAACTAAAAAGGAAATTCAAAAGACAATGTTCTTATTGAATGGAGAGAAGTCCCCAAGATCTAATGGTTTTGTCGTACATTTCTTCAAACAAAGTTGGAGCATTGTGGGAGATGAGGTTACTAAAGCTATATAGCATTTTTTTCAAACTTTGAATATACCATATGCTTTCAACTCTGCAATAATAGCATTAGTTCCTAAATGCACCAATCCTAGTAGTATAAAATATTTCAAGCCAATCTCTTGTTGCACCATAATCTACAAATATATCACAAGGATTCTGGCTAATCGATTAAAGATATATCTACCTAAGATGATAAGTAGTAATTAAAATGCATTTATAGAAGGTAGAAGCATTATGGATAATGTATTGCTAGCTCAAGAAATGGTTTTAGGTTATGGCAGATCCACTTTATCTCCAAGGTGCGCAATCAAGATTGATCTTCAAAAGACTTTTGATTCAATGGACTGGAGCATCATACTTTTCGTCTTGCACGCAATGAAATTACCAAATCAGTTTGTAGCATGGATAAGAAATTGCATTATTACTTCTTTCTTCTTTTTATCATTTAATGGTGGACCGGTAGGCTATTTCAAAGAAGCAAAAGGAATGTGACAGAGAGATCCACTTTTCCCTTACTTGTTTAATCTAACTATTAATGTTCTTTCCAGATTATTGGATGCTATTGCCGTAGCTAGTGTCTTTGATTATCATCCTAAATGTAAGAGAATTAAATTAACTCACTTTTGCTTTGCTGATGACTTGTTGATTTTTGCAAAGGGAACATTGGACTCCGTGGCAGGGATAAAGGTGGTGTTAGAGGCATTTTATACTATGTCTGGTCTATAGTTGAATTGTGAGAAAAGTG